GTGGCAGTTAGTCCAAAATGACTCTTATTAGAGTCAGCATTTCCACCTCGGCTTCAAGGGCAGGCTGGAGATGAACGTGCAGCCGCTTGCCTTACCCCTCTCCCAGCTCCCCGCTGAGGCAGGACTCCCCTTGGGGTTTGGGGACTGCGAGTAAATGGCTGAGAGGTCCCTAGTGAGGCTTGGTGTTCGAAACAGGCTGAGGTGCCTAAGAATCATCCTCTTCAACCTTGGGAACATACACGGCTGCAGCTTCCTACAGCCCTTGACTTCCATAATGCTGATGTTTCTTACTCCAGGGCAGGACAGCCAGCAAGGACAGGAACTGCCACAAGGAACAATGTCCTCTCCCCTAAAACATGTTGGTTTTTTTCCAAGATTTTTCAGCTTTGCTCCCCATTCTCCAAAGCTCCCAGCACCATGACTGAAAACTCTTCACAAATACTAGAAGAGGGAGGTGTTCCAAGCGCTGCCATTTCCACCTCTGTCCCTGCCTGGGGACGGTGCCAGCCTAGGAGCACACTCTGCTCCCTCTGGACGGTTATTTCTGTGCCCCCACTGCCTTCAAGACCTCCAAACCACCAGCAACGCACAGCTGATGGGAAAACGGTGCTGACCACAATAACGACAGGGCTTTTCTTCCACGCAGACGGGACTCCTCATTCCCTCCCTCCCTCTAAACTGCATTCCTCATTACACCCGGACATTGCAGAGTGGCTTTGCTTGGGACCTGCTGCTTGAAACAAGCTTACCGGTCTAATGTTAGAACAGCTCTGTCCCAGCTTAGCTGAAATAACGCCACGCTCAGCTGCAGCATTGCTTTTGAAACTTCTCCTTTTGTCCATTTACTCCCAGCGCCGCACACCAATCTGTCTGAGAAGCTCATTCCTCATTATTTGTTAAGAGAGCCAACAAAGCCCTCTGTCCCTGCGCCCTCTCGGAGCTTTGTTTTCAGCTATCTATGCAGTCTTCTGTTTGTGCTTCTCCCGTGTTTGCACTAAGAGCTGGAAATCGTTCACTTAGCCTTGAGCCCCCTCCCTCAGTGTGTTTGCAGTTAGAAGTAATCACCATAGCGCAATCTAGCCCTTGCTTTTTGCTTACCCTTCTATTTTCTGTTTAATTACAAATCCCTTTGGTCATGCACTTGGATCCGGGACGTGGTTTCCATTTGCCTTGCAAACAGCGCAGCGGAGAACGCCAGAACCATTTTTCACAACAACCTTGCTCTGACCTGGGTGACAGCTTTAGCACCAGGCAGTTGATCTCTTACTTGCCCATCTGTTCATTGATTAAAATCCCACACTTCAGTATGCGTTTCTGTCTCTGCATCCAGTAGCTCTCCCAACAGCAAGACTCACACAGACAAGGAGCCTTTCCCAAGTGGCGCTCCTCAAGCACATCACTGGCCTCCTCACTGCCTTGGGTCAACCCAACAACTCAGGAGCAACCAGTCACCAGCAAGCCCGGACACACTGCCCAAGAGCACGGGAAATAGAAGAGGTGAAACCCAGGCTGGGGGCGGGGGGGGGGAACACCACAAAAAAAGACCACCAGCACCCCCAGCATGGCACAGCTTGTGGGGACACTGGGCCTGCCACGCTCCACCTCCAGCTGCTCTGTGGCACGGCCGGACTCCCGGCTGGAAGTTTCCTTTTAACACACAGCCAGAGAAAGGCAGAAAGAAACAACACTAAGGTTTCTGCCTTATCACATCTTTCAAATCAGGCAAGATTATCACAAGGATCAGCCTAACAGCCACCATCAGACCCAGCACTGCAAGCTTCAGAGAAACACAAGGTCTGTGCTGCCAGCCACTGTTACACCTCATCAGCAATAGAGCCCCCCAAACCTCCTTTAGTGCACAGAAAGGCCATATTTAGCCCAGTACAAACAGTTCCAAAAGGAAGCCAGAGCCTTACTCAATGTTAAAATATGCTTTTCGTGATCACTGGGAGGTTTCTACAGAGCAGTGAAATGAGTCAGTGCCATCTACCGGCTGCAGGGACCCCTCCGCTTCCACATTCACCAGATTCAGCCTCAAATATTAAGTGATAGGAACCAGCCTCTCCCATGACACAACCGTAACGTTTCCAGTGTCCCTCTGCAACGCCGTAACCAACCAGAGGCACCATTTCAAATACAAATTCCCCCTAGAGGTTCAGGGTCTAGATCGAAACCCTTCGACACGACCGTGGCTCCGGACACATCCAACCACACCGAGAGCTGCCAGGGAGCCCCAGCAGGCCAACCCCAGGGCTACAGCTCCAGCGCTTCACAGCCCTTCTCCTTCCTACCATCTACATCAGGATCTGCCTTCGCTATCCCTGACAGAAATCACCCACGTGATGTAGGAGATACTGGCAATGGCAACCCTCGAGCTGGGCCGGGTCCGCGCTGAGGAAGAGCTGTAGAAAAGCCAAGTAGGAGCAGTGCTGCTGGCATCCCCGAGAGACAGCGTGGAACGTCGGCTCCAGCACAGCACTCGCAAAGAAATACCCGCTCCAAGGCTACCGAGAGGCGTCAAAGCCAGGATGAGATGCCAGGCATTCCTGGCTATCAGCGTTGTTCTCCTCTGTTGGATCAGATTGAATTGGTGAACAGATTCTAAATATGCTTCTTACCGTTTTAAAAAGGAAAATACATCATCGCTCTGTAATTATTCCATAATTAGGCTTGGGTGCCATATCACTTGCGCTAAGGAAAATACACATTTCTGTCAACGCTTCCTCTTGAAGGGCAGACAGATTTGTTCATCCTTCAAATGCTAATTATCCCCCAAACTTATCTTTCAGCATTAACGGGCTTTGGCAGGCTCCAAATGGCTGGGGGACATGGTAATTTTGTGCTGCAGGAATCGCCTTGGGCTCCGTTTGCTGCCGAGAGCTCTCCAAGCTGAGGTGCTGTCAGTCTCTTTTTAGGGATGCTGGTTGAACCGAGTTCATCAAGCTGCTTTTGTCAATCCTGGTAAAATCAGTAAACATCTGAGAGCATCCTGGCACCGAGGGAGTGGTTACTGCCTTTCCCACTGAAAACGAGCAAGAAAAGGAAGACTGTCTGTAGAAACCTCCATGTTATGTGATATCAGCCCAGCTCCGAGCTGTTTGTAGAGGAAGCAGACGGCATAGGGCAACACAAAGCTACCACATCCATAGTGTGGGACAGCATTCCCATACCATGCTCTTACTTAAGAGCTGGCAACGTGTTCCTTGATCATTCGGGCACAAAGGCGTCTCGTCCTCGTCGTTGGAAGTCCCCCACGCAGAGACCACCGCACCAGCGGTTCCGCTGACAGGTTTGGTTTGAAGTCACCGCTCAGGGAAGGGACCTTTGGTGGATTCCCAAGAGGTGTGAGGGACACGCAGGGCTGTGAGGGACGGTATCCGAGAAGAAGGGAATACTGCACTGGTGCTCAAACCATCCGGAGGGATCTCCGAGGCTCCACAAGGGACAGCCTGTGCGGAGGCAGACACATGGGCAGGCACGAGGGCATGTATTGGGCCAGAATTCCTCTTCCCAAATGCAACACTTGCCTTTCTTGAACTTCACGTTTAAGAATGCTTGTTCATTTTACTAAAATAATTTAAATCCGCTCCTTTTTCTTCCCAAGCTCTTGCCAACAAACCCAATCCGGTACCACGTGCAAGTTTTAGACCTGTTCTTTACTCCTTCACCCCAGCCGGTGCTGTAACAGTAAGAAAAAGCAGAAAAGACAGATGGTGGTAAAACCTCCCCCTGAAACACCCCGCAGCTGAAGAACGCTGCCGGAGTCTGTGCTGCACAGAAACACGGCGTCCACTGTCTGCGGAGAAGCAACCCCAGCCCATCTTCTTCAACCTTCCTCGGGGCACATCGTGGGGGAGAGCTCCAAACCTCGCAGCACAAGAGCTGTTTGCCCAACCTGCTCTTTCACTATTGGCAGTTACAAATAAGAAAAGCACTTTTCATTGCCACAGTTTCTTTCAGCCAAACCAGGTTATTATTTTTCCCCTTCCTGTTGATTTGCTGTGTAAGTATCTGCTGGAAAATTCTTTATGTTGCTCGATACTGAAATCTGAAAAATGCAATTCCTTAAAACTTTCTTTTTGTTGACTTTAGTCAAATCTCTCCTCGCTCTAGTGAGAGGGAGAGGAGAAGTACAGCCCCGCTGCGGAGCGCCAAGATACATTGCCTGCTGACACACTCTGCTGCCTTAAGGAAAAAAATAAATTTAAAATAAGAGTACTTTTCCAGAAAAGCAAGGGACAAATGACAAGAACGCTTCTATCGAGCAGAAGCTTATTCTACCATGCGAATAAACAAGCTGCGAGCAGTGAGGGCGGTTTGCAGCGCTGCCCACACCTCCTCGCCCCAGCAGAGCCCAGCTGCCATCCCCGGCCCTGCGCCCTCGAGCGGCGGGGCCTCCCCGGAGCCCTGCCCGGCCCGCTGGGCCCTGCCCCGGGGCTGAGGGGAGCGATGGCGGGAGCGGCCCCGCGGCTGAGGGGAGCGATGCCTGCCTGCCTGCCTG